CCGATCACCCCAAAACCCCAAAACCCCAAAACCCCTTTTGGAATAATGTAGATTGAAATTTTACAATAATACCCAGAACAGAAACCCTCATCGGCGAGTGGATAGATAGCTGGAATTTATTAAATCTCTTGATATTGCAATGCAGAGCTTCAATCTGTTATATTTCGAGCTTCAAATAACTAAATTTTAGAGTTCTATTTTTTAGATATTTTTATCAACATTTAAATTTATCCAAGTGAGATATCCAAGTTTTTCTGGGCTTTAGCCTGATCTTGAATCAAATCCTTGTTATGCACTATGCTAGGAATTTCTTCTTTATTAGGTTGGTTGAGAGTTTTTAAGGGATGAGAAAATCTCCCAGCTTTTCTTTGACTTTGGAATGGCTTAATACAACCATGAGTGTTAACCAGCATGTTTTGAGCATCAAGTTTTCTCGCTAAATGATTTGAAGGAAGACCTACCTTCATTAACAGCCATTCTGAGATGTCTGTCAATTTCTGAATATTCATCGAAACTAGTGAAATGGCTCATTTTATCTTGATGACTTCTCCGAAGCAGCTCAGATTGTAGAATTTTCCAGTGAGGGTTATGCCCCTCAAGCATGAGATAATTTTTCGCAGCATATTGCTCTCTTTTAGGAATGGTATTTATGATGTTTTCTGGTCTAATAGACTCTGCCTTATTTCTAGTTTGGCTCTTGAACAAAAGCACATTTTCTTGGATTAGTCTAGATTTAACAAAACACTTTACTTTTCATTTGCACAGTTGTGGAAGTTCCTTAAGAACAAACTTGAGTTATTGCGAGGTGGTGATTGACTAGAGTGATCAAATTTTACACCAGCTTTTGTCTCAAGGATCTTAAAATGCTCTGAAACAGATTTGAAAGGTTTCCTCTTCATCTGTTCATACGATTTAATATCCTTCTTGAAGAATTTCTCTGTAGTCATCCCCTTGAGATCTGAAGTTAGAGTCAAATTTACCATTATTTCGAGAACCTGCTTTAGTAAAGGTTATAGATGGGAGATTAGTTTGACTTTTAGTCATATAATCCATTTCATTGAGCTCAGTATTAGACCCTCTGTGGGTTGTTGATTTCTTATAAAATTTCACTTTGCTGTTAGAAAGGGATCTGTTTCCAAGCATCGCTTCACTGCCACAGGATTGTAACACATTCTTTTCTCTAGTTGTATGTGCAACCTCCTTCTCTGGTCTTTCTGTTGTGATATTTTTGTCTGACATTGGCCTATTGATCCTCTTCGGACTAGCTATTGGGCTCTGAATTTTAGCAGAATTATTTATCTTTTCGAAACTCTTCTCATACTTTCTGTTCGGGATACTGTATATTTTAGGGATAGAATTTAGATCATTTCTTGTCCATGGAGAGCAGCCGATTTGAACTTCTCCTTCCATTACATTCTTTCTAAAGAAGAAGGTGAAACTTTAGCTTACATTTTGTGAATGGGATCCATTAGATACCGAATTTTCTTGACCCGAGGTCTTTGTAGAGATCCTCTTTTGTGTTTGTTATGACTATTTTATTATCATGGTAGCAGCTTCATTCCTGACTTTTGCATTTTTGGGTTCAATGGTCATGTCCCAATTTCTGAACATCGGTTCACCTAACTCTGTCTTATTTTGGTATTCCTGTAAATCATCCTTTCCTTTATTAAAATTCTCAGAAGAGAAAGATCTCGGAGAGCTGAAAGGTTTGTGTTTGTTGGGCTAGAAAATAAGATAAATTGTTTACATCAGGTTCAACTGAGAACTGGCTAATAATTACTTGCTTATCTCTTAGTTCTCTATGATTGTACTAAAATATATCATTGAGATTACTGTAATGCTTGGCTCAGATTCGTATTCTGCAGATTCACTATACTCTAGAGATATATCCAAAGCATACCGTCTATCTTTTCTGGATTTTCTGTAGCAAGGATGTTCAAATTTTTAGTCGTCAGATTGTTATTCTGATCTAGATAACATTCTCATCAACATTATAAGCCAAATACCTTTATGGTTCCCATTTGGGTCGAATTTTGCACCTGTGATTTCTTTGAGCCTATAAGCTCCATCTTTTTGCGCCACATGGTCTATTGGCATTAAACCATGAATCCGTACTCACCGCATTGACAAGTCATTCTTTCTTCTGTGTAGTCAGGCTATTGATTCTAGTTTTCCCATTTCTATTTCTCATCTTCCTTTGCAACATAAAAGTCGTTGTAGATCTCCTCAAAATAGGAATGCTTAGGGACTCCTTTCATTTTGTGGATCTTTGAACTGGATTTACTGTGTAACATGAAGTCCTAGATTGGTTAGAGAATAATACTCTTTCTCTGTCCTTTAGCTCTTTGAATTTCGCTTCTATTTGGTTCAGATTCATTTATTTTTCAATAATTAGAATAAAATTAGGGGTTTTGGGGTTTTGGGGTTTTGGGGTTTTGGGG